GGATGCCAGCTTGACAAAGTCTGATAATAGGGAGTAGAAGTAATAGCTTCAGGAGTTCAAGACCAGCCTGAGCAAGAGTAAGACCCTGTCTTTACTAAAAATAGGTAAATTAGTCAGGTGTGGGGGCCAGTGGAACCCCTATGTGACTATAGTCACAGCTACTCCAGGGAGCTGAGGCAGGAGGATCTCTTGAGCCCAGGAGTTGGAGGCTGCAGTGAGCTACAATGACAACACTGCACTTTATACTGAGGTGAGACTCTGTCTCAAAAAAAAAAAAAAAAAAGGCCATGTGTGATGGCTCATGCCTGTAATCTTAGCACTCTGGGAGGCTAAGGCAGGTGGATTGCTTGGCTCAAGAATTCAAACCAGCCTAAGCAAGAGGGAGACCCTGTCTCTAAAAGTAGAAAAACAAACCGAAAAAAGAAACTAGCCAGGCATGGTGGTGCTTGCTTCTAGCCCCAGCTACTTGGGAGGCTGAGGCAAGAGGATTGCTTGAACCCTGGAGTTTTGAAATTGTTGTGAGCTACCATGATGCCACAGCACTGTACCCAGAGCAACAGAATGAGTCTGTCTCAAAAAAGAAGGGCCAGGCACAGTGGCTCATGCCTATAATCCTAGCACTCTGAGAGGCTGAGGAGGGTAGATTGCTTGAGCTCAGGAGTTGAAGACCAGCCTCTAAAAATAGCCAGGCATTGTGGCAGGTGCCTGTAGTCCCAGCTACCTGGGAGGCTGAGGCAACAAGATCACTTAAGCCTAAGAGTTTGAGTTTGCTGTGAGCTATAATGCTACAGCACTCTACCAAGAGTGACAAAGTGAGACCCTGTCTCAAAAAAAAAAAAAAGGTTCAGCGCCTGTAGCTCAAGCAGCTAAGGCACCAGCCACATACACCTGAGCTGGCAGGTTCAAATCCAGGCCAGGCCTGCCAAACAATGATGGCTGCAACCAAAAAATAGCCAGGCATTGTGGCCGGCGCCTGTAGTCCCAGCTACTTGGGAGGCAGAGGCAGGAGAATCACTTGAGCCCAGGAGTTAGAGGTTGCTGTGAGCTGTGATGCCATGGCATTCTCCCCAGGGCGATGGCTTGTGGCTCTTCTCAAAAAAAAACCAAACAAACAAACCAAGGGGAGGTACTATGGCTCATGCCAGTAATCCTAGCACTCTGGGAGGCCAAGGTGGGGGATTGCCTGAGCTCATGGTTCAAGACCAGCCTGAGTAAGAGCAAGACCATGTTTCTAAAAATAGCTGAGCATCGTGGTAGGTGCCTATATTCCCAACTACTTGGGAGGCTGAGACAAGAGAATAACTTCAGCCCAAGAGTTTGAGGTTGCCGTGAGCAATGACAGCACAGCATTTTACCAAGGGCAACAAAGTGAGGCTGTCTCAAAACAAAAGAAAACAAAAAACCCCAACAAAGTAACAGTACAGCAGCCCTGCATCCTAGCAGTGGGCACATGGGCTCCACATCCTGCATGGTCCTCACCTGATACATCCACATGTGGCTTTGAAAGCTCAGCCAGCCAAGTCCACGTATAGTTATGGGAGATGGAGCTCCAGGTGTGGAAGTGGGACACCAGGTGCTCACAGAGCAGCACATTCTGGTCATTTGGTGACCACTAATGTGCTAGAGTGCATCCCACACTTTTGCACCCACTTTGCCCACTTTTCAGAGAGGCAAGCTGAGGCCTGACATGTCAGACCCAGATCTGGACCCCATGAGTCCATGGGCCACCCTGGCTATCTCTGCCCCTTTCTAAGCTACTACTTCCCGTTCAGCATAGCATCCTCAGCTTCCTCCAGGTAGGCTCTGGGGCCACTTCTGCCTGCTCTCTGGCCTAAGGCCTGAGGCCTGTGGTCTGAAGCCCTGCATGGCCAGCCACTCATTATCCACACTTGCCCTCCCCACCTTGCTCACCACAGGCTACTTCTTTGTCCAGGCACCCAGCTCCATGCAGGCCCAACCGAAGTCAGATGGAGGGGCCACAGGTCAGTTTCCCAGCATCACCTGTTCCATTTTCTGTGCATCCCATCTAGTCCCCTTGGAAATTATTACATTTCTAGTTCACTTGTTTACTTCTCTCCTCTGCTCTGGAAGCCCCAGGAGGGTAAGCCAGTTTGGTCACCACTGCGTCCCCAGAAAGCACAGCACATCGGCAATGCCCAATTAATAACTATGCAGTGAATGAAGGAGAGGAGAGCTCCAAACCCCAACCACACTGAGCCATCAGTTGTCACTACCATCACTGTCGGGTGGAGAAATTGAGGCTTAGAGAGTAGTGACTGTCTCAGGTCCCAGGCCTCTGCCCCAGCGCATGGCCACCTTGTCTGGCAGTGCCCACTACCCAAGGACTGGCCCAGCCAGTCCCTGTCCTTGCCCTCGCCTTATGCAGTCTAATGAGGGCTTTGGGAGCCCAGATGAAAGCAGCTGAGAAGGGCAGGGGGTGATTATCTGCGCTGATGGAGGTGATTCAGGGCGGCCAGCGATTACTGGGCCTCTCCCCAGCTCCCCCTTCCTAGACCTGAGGCTGTGGGCAAACTGCCTCTCTGCTCCCCATGCATTCTCCTTTCCTTGTCTTCCTTCTCTCTGGCCTCTCCTCTTAAAACTAGCATTTGCTGGGTGGAGCCCTGGAGACACAGCCTAGAATGGACAGCGACTTCAACTCTATCAGGGCCTGGCACTGTGGAGCCCAGCTCCACCCGCTCCTTGGTGTGATCCTAGGCAGGTCACTTCCTCTGTGCCTCAGTTTTCTCACTGCCAAATGTGATGTCTAGGGGAGAAACAGAAGAGTCCCTAACTCAAGCAAGTCCCAACTTTGGTTTTGTGTTTTGGGAATCCAGAGTTCAAACCCAGCCTCTAAGTGACTGGGCTGCCGCAGCCCTTCCTGGAGCCTTGGTTTCTTGCCTATAAATAGGGGTGGGTGATCCTCCTCTGCAGCTGAGCCAAGACCGGGAGCGTCCTCTGCATCCTCAGCCTTAGCTGTCCAACCCTCCTACCAGATGGGCTGCACCCATTTTACAGCTGTGGAAATGTGGCCTTTCGGCGTTACTATTCTACCCTTGCTGTTACTAGAGCCTCTCACGTGGACCCCCTCCCCCGCGGCCCGTGGCGCACTCACTCTCCAGGCTGTGGCGCCAGCGGGTACCCTGCACACGGCCAGTGGGATCCACACGCAGGAAAAAGTGGGTAGAGGAGAAGAGGCGCCGCCAGCGCACGTCGCCCTCCAGGTGCGGGTAGTTGCGCACTCTCCGCAATGCAGTTGGGGCGTCAGGCTCCTGCGCCAGCAGCAGCCAGACCAAGCCCAGCCACAGGCGGCGGCGCATGGCCCCGCACCCTGTTCGCCGTCCGCTCTTGCCTCCCCGCGCGTCCGCGGCTCTGCCATTGCGCTGGGGCCAATAGGGGTCCTTGGGGCGGGGCCAAGCGCTGCGGGGGCGAGCCGTGGCTATGGAGCCGACCAATGGAGCGTGGGAGCTGGCCAATGAAAGCTGCGGAGGGCAGGACCAGGGAGTTACAGGGCTGTGCCCACTTTGTAGGGCGCTCGCGGCCTCGGCACGTGTTTGTTCTATGGGGCGTGTCCGGGAATCACCGGAGTCACCCGGTGGGCTCAGACTGTGGGCTGCTGGGACTGTGAAGGTGAGTTGGACTGCAGAGACCCGGAGGAAGATAGAGAGAGGGACAGCGGCAGAGACCAAAGACACCCAGACTAGAGGGACAGAGGTCAGACAAAGAGACACAGAAACAAGAGACAGAGACACAGAGAAAAGGGAGATAAAGGACAGACAGAAAAGAGAGAGAGACAAGAGACACAGAGGCAAGGCCAGACACACGCCTGTAATCCTAGCACTCTGGGCGGAGGTGGGTGGATTGCTTGAGTATAAACCAGCTTGAGAAAGAGTGACACCCTGTTTCTACTAAAAAAGACAGAAAAACTATCCGGGCAGGGGAGTGGGCAACTGTAGTCTCAGCTGCTCAGGAGGCTGAGGCAAGTCCTCTTGCTTGAGACCAAGAGTTTGAGGTTGCTATGAGTTATGATGAAGCCAGGATACTCTACCCAAGGTGACAGAGTGAGACTGTCAAAAAAAAAAAAAAAAAGACACAGAGGCAGAGACAGGAGACACAAGATAAAGATAAAGACAAGTGAGACAGAGATGAAAGAAAGAAGAGAGAGACAAAGAGACTGTGAGATGCAGAGACAAGAGAAGTAGGGTGAAAATGCCATAGCTACAGGGAGAGAGTCTGTGAAAGTCAGAGGCTGCAGGGAGACATAGGGACCAAGTCAGAGATTGTGAGAGACAATGATGGGGAGGTATAGGAAGACAGAGAGAGATGATGACAGAGAGAGGTAGAGAGAGTCAGAGAGATGGAGATGCTCAGGGATCAGATATTGAGAAGGAAGGTTCTGGCATATGGATCAGAACCTTGTGGGGCCTGCCAGCTTGGCCCCAAGACTGGACATGCCAGAGAGGAACTCAGCTTCCCCTCCAAATGGAGCTTTCTGAGAACCAGGCCCTTAAGGACAAAGGGCTTCGTTGTAGGATGAAGGGTAGAGGGATGTTTGTGTGCATAGGCAGGTGAATCTTAGGGAGGGGAACATTTAGCAGGGGCATGTTGATGACCATCTGGTGAGGTACCCAGGACCCCGGGTCCACTGGCAGCACTTCATGTCAGAGGTGGCAGGAATGGGGTGGCCCCATTCACACCCACACCTACTCCTCACTTACAGCCACACTTTAGGCTCCACAGGAAACCTCCCACCAAGGCAGCCAGCCCTACTCTCACCTGCCTGCCCCATGCCCTGGGCTCCAAATGACCCTCACAGACTCAGAGCCAAGAGGAGTCATTGATAGATGAAGAAACTGAGACCCAGAGAGGAACATTGATTTCCATTTAAGGAACATAGGGATGACCCTGATTCTAATTTCTGCCTTCTGCACCCAGCGGCCCAGTCCTGCAGCCACAGCCCCAGGTGGCACCTTTAAATAGCACCAGGGTGAAGACATGGTGACCAGCCTTCCCTGATGAGGCACCCTCTGGAGGAACAACTGGTCTGGCCAGATGTTAGGATGCTTTCCTGATGGGTCAGGGATTCCCTGACTCTTCCTGGCCCATGCACTCGCACAATGGGTGTGACAGGTCTCCCAGTCTTGGAGGACCCAGGACTGAGTCCAGACCTGACAGGTCTCCCAGGACTGAGTTTAGGGAGGGTATCCCCACAGCCCAGGTCCAGCCTGATCTGCTTCTCAGCTCATATCCTTGAGGCTAGAACTAGGGGAGCCCTACAAGCATCACTTTACCTACCCAAGCCTCAGTTGCTCTTCGGTAAAATGAGGCAATAAAGGGATGTCTGGAAGGATAAAATGACACAATCCACCCAACATGCTGGCCAGACAGCACAGCACATAAACACTGGATAAATATCTCCACCTTCCTTGCCCTCTGGAAATGTTTGTCTTTCTTTCCTAGAGTGAACCCCCACACACACTGTGAAAAGATGGGTCACACACCTGAGAAGCTGGCCCTGCCTCCCATGTCTGAGTGTGTTTAATGACAGCTTTATTGAAATATAATTCACATACCATACAATTCACCCATTTAAAGGGTACAATTGAGTACTTTTAGTACACTCACCAAGTTGTGCAACCATTACCACTATTTCTTTCTGGAGCATTTCATTACCCCCAAAGGAAGCCCTGTCCCTATCAGCAGTTAGTTTCCATCCCCTCCCCCAGCCCCTACCAACCACAGATTCACTTCCCATCCCTGTAGAGCTGCCTGTTCTGGGATCACACACTGTGTTTCCTTTTGTGTCTGGCTTCTCTCACTGAGCATGATGTCCTCAAGGTCTGTCCACATTGTAGCACGTGTCAGAGCCTCCTTACTTTTCATGGCTGAGTGATATTCCAGTGTGTAGATGGAATTATCTATTCATTTGTTGATGGACATTTGGGTTGCTTCCACATTTTGGCTATTGTAAATAATGGTGCTATGAACATTGTATACAAGTTTTTTTTTAATTTTTTTTTTTTTTTGGTCTGGGGTTGGGTTTGAACCCCCAACCTCCGGCATATGGGGCCTGCGCCCTACACTTTTGAGCCACAGGTGCCACACTATATACAAGTTTTTTGCAGAGATATGTTTTCATTTCTCTTGGGCATACACCTGGGAGTGGAATAGCTTGGTCATATGATAATTCCATGTTTAGCCTTTTGAAGAACTGCCAAACTGTTTCCACAGTGACTACCATTTTTATGTTCCCATCAGTGATACGTGAGGCTTTTGAGTTCTCCACATTTTCACTAACATTTGTTATTGCCTGTCTTTTTTTTTTTTTTTGAGACAGAGTCTCACTCTGTCACCCTGGGTAGAGTGCCATAGGGGTCACCATAGCTCACAGCAATCTCAAACTCTTCGGCTCAAGTGATCCTCTTGCTTCAGCCTCCTAAGTAGCTGGTACTACAGGAACCCTCCACAACACCTGGAAAGTTTTTTCTATTTTTTAGTAGAGATGGAGTGTCACTCTTATTTAGACTGGTCTCTAATTCCTGAGGTCAGGTGATCCACCTGCCTCCACTTCCCAGAGTGCTAGGATTACAGGTGTGAGCCATCATGACCAGCCTCTTTCTTTCTGTAGAGACAGGGTCTCACTCTGGCTCAGCCTGGTCTCTCTAACTCCTGGTCTCAAGTGATTTCTTTCGCTTTGGCCTTCCTAAGTGCTGGGAACGCAGTGTAAATCCCTGTGCCAGCAAGTGTCCTGATAGATGTAGTTAGGATCTTCAGATGATATTCAGGAAAGTTTCCTGATGGGTCCTAAATGCGGTGGCAGGTGCCTTCATGAGAGACAGGATGATTTGGCACAGACACAAAGGAGGAGGTGATGTGACTACAGAAACAAAGACTGGAGCAACATGACCACAAGCAAAGGATGCTTTGACTCCCCAGGAGCTGGGAGAGGGAGGACGATACTTCTCTAGAGCCTCCAGAGGGAGCAAGGCCCTTGATACCTTTATTTCAGCCTTGTGAAACTGATTTTGGACATCTTGTCTTCAGATATGTCAGAAAATGAATTTCTGTTATTTTACGGCCCTAAGGTTTTGGTCATTTATGCCCAGCGGACACCAGAACCTGGTATCATCTCCTTCCATCTGGAAATTGCTGACTTTGACTCGGTGCTTATAGCAGAGTGGTTAGGGTGCCAGCCACATGCACCAAGGCTCATGGATTAGAACCAGGCCTGAGCCTGGTAAACAAACAACAACAACAAAATAGCCAGGTGTTGGATCGGCGCCTGTGGCTCAAGCGGCTAAGGCGCCAGCCACATACACCTAAGGTGGTGGGTTCGAATCCCC